TAATGGATGTGAACCATACTTTAAATTATTACTATGCTCAAATTCAATCCAGATTGTCGTATGGAATAATTGTTTGGGGCTCGTCAACCGCGGCAAAAAATGTTTTTCTTGTACAAAAACGAATAGTCCGGTGTATTGCGGGTAGTAAGAAATTTGATTCGTGTCGCCCGATATTTAAAAAATTGAATATTCTTACACTTTCATCTCTCTCTATATACTTGAATTGTTAACTTTTATTTTCCATAATCAGCAATAATTTCTTACGCCATAGCAGTTTTCGTAAATACAACACGCGCAATAAACAACAATTTATCATCCCTTTAACAAGGGATGGGAACTTGCCCATAATTCTCCCACGTCAATGGGCATTAAATTATTTAATGCTCTTCCAAGTACACTTAGAAGTCAGGGAACAATAAAGTGCTTTAAAACTTCTTTAAAAAAATTTCTTCTGGTCAATGCACCATATACAATTGATGAATTTCTAAATTGTATTGATAAAAATTGCGGATCTCTAGTGTAATTTATATTGCATTCTTTCTTTTTAGTCCAACATTTTTTAAATTGTATTTAATTGTATTTTTTTGTGTCTGACGTATCCTATACAATTCAAAATTTGTCTTGGGAATTAATATATATTATTATTATTAGAATAAAGACAATAAAAAAAAATTAAAAAAATAAAATAAAAAATTAATAAAAAAGAAATAAATAAAAATAAAATAACCAATAGAATTATAAACGCGTGCCTAAGGAGTATGCAATGGTTTGGGAAGAAGACCGAGCACCAATTGAAAACCAGAGAAATTAAACGAGGATATCCGCTCTCCCCAAGGTTCTTCGCGATAGCCCTGGACAACGCCATAGAGCAAAAAAGGGGAGCAATGAAGAACTTCAGCACGGATAGCCAATTACAACTACCGACATTATAGGAGGAACAAAGGCCAAGAATTTAAGTGCCTCGTAATGGAAAGTAGGCCGGCCCTGCTTCACATGGATCACCACTATAGACCAAAGGGTGGCGGCCTCAGGGATACCCAAAGAGAAATGGGAAGAGTGGAGCACACAAAATGAAGAAAGAAAGCAGACGAGTACTGGAGGTCGGGGAAGAATCAGACGGTAATACAAGCAACCAAGAGGAGGAGGAAGAGAACAATAAGGAAACGAGAAACAAGAAAGAAGGAATTGAAATCAATGAATGGTCGCATCGGGAACTAATGGAACGAAGGAGGAGAGGCTGTCAACAGGAAGCCGAGTTCTCTCTAATGCAGTTATACCAGTGTTAGTTCCTACCAAGGACTTCCCCACGACAGTTGACTAAATTCTGGGAGCGGTGGATAGCAAAACTGTCAACATAAGCGAATACTTGTTATTCGCTGATGAGGGCAACTTGAAACCCGTTCGATCTTATTGTAGTCTTGCAACTATCGTGCTCAGAAAACAGTTACAATTTATTAGAAGAAAATAATCAACGTGATTTATTTGACGATTTAGTGAAAGAACGCATTGCACAATAGCACACGGCCGAACTCCCATTTACCGTAATTACACGCTGGAAAACTAATCAATTAAATTTAATAGCGGCCTTTAAACGCCATGTCTATTATTAATTGATTTCACCATCTGCTCACTTTTTTTCCTCTTCCTCGTGACATCGACCACGTCCCGTCGGTGCCGTCGCCGGACGATAAATCAACGATACTCGCTCGCCGCGCGCGACGGTACCGTTAAAAGTTAATTCGATCGAATTGTCAGTAGCCGTACCGGTATTAACACATAAAACCCCCTTATCGGGTGTGGGTACTCATGGCACCGGCACGATCCTAATGTGGGGCGTGGTAACTACCGCATGCGAGTAGTGTGTTTCTGGTACAGCTACCGATACCTGCCACCGCGTGGGCACGTAATCACTATAATCTCCCATTAATGAGATGCTATTCACTCATATACGCCTGAACGTTAAATGGGCTTCCTGTCTTACTGCGACGTCACGCGAATTGCTGCCGTAAATTACTCAATTTATAATGGAAGAAAGTTAATTGCGCGGTTCGTGTAGTCCTTATGCTAATAGGCCTCGCCCATGGTTTCATTGTTGAGATGGTTGCAGGTTCTTGGGCGATTGAGTTGACGTTGAGATAAATATGAATGGTTGGCACTCAACGCAAGTTGAGACAATGTATCCTGGAGGGAATTCACCCTCAGAAAGATTCGCCCTTGGATTCTCTAACAGTTCAACCAGTTCCTGCTCCTCGACGTTAAAAGGATGAATTGAAAAACGGCTTAGCCGAATTCGTACACTTTTGTTAAATGTAAGGCTCAATAAACTTATAATAAATGGTCAGTGTTTCTTGTCAGAACTCAGGTTTAGCCTGGTTAACTAATCGCGCACATTAAAATCAAGTAACGACTAGTGTTAGTCCGTACGTCGTTCGTCTAGTCAAGTCTTGTCGAATGCTAAATTCTATCATTTAAAAAAAAAATAGAATAATAATTTAAAACAATAAAATAAAAACACACACATTTCCTACAAGTTTAATTAAGTGGCGTTGTTTATTGTGTAAGTGTTTGTTTGGCTTTGCGTTTGGGTTGAATACGAATGGGTTGTGATAATGTGGTTTGTTTCAGAGTGGAAGGCTTTTTGTGTCGTTTACTTGAGCTAACCCGTGTAACTTTAATGGAAATATGTTGGTTTTCAATTTACAATATCCCTTTGTTCCTAGTGATGATTTTACCTCCCAACCCGCAATATGAATTACTGACCGATTTACAATTTTTTCATTTATATTTGGATACAGTATGTTCCCTTAGGGATGATATTCAATACGAGTATGCAGAATTAAACGATATAATAAATTACAATTTTATTTTTTTTTTTACATTTGATTATTTAACACATATTTTACATTATAACTTACATGTATTTAATAAAAAAAAAAAAAAAAGGTTTCAAGATTTAAGAAAGGAAGAAAATTTCATTTAAAGATATTGTAGAAGGGAAAGTGCCCATAATACTAGCGGCATTGCCGCGCTGAATGGCCAGACTAATTTTTTGAATAAGAAATGATTTTGAACGGTGCTCTCCTGTGGCATTTTTCAATTTCTTTCCTAAAGTATTTACAAATTGCATAGCTTCCGTACACCACGGTCCAAGGGTTTCAACAGCGAAAGGTAAAAACTGGTAACCTGCATTGATAATTTCCTGATATTTCCTCACCTTGTTAGCAGCAGCTTGTCTCGCAACTTCTCCAGTGGAATGCGAGGAAAGTGACAAGTGAGAAGAGGCAAGTGTATCAGAACAAGTCGCATCCCAAATTAAGTGTAGACCATGAGACCAAGGGATCAGAGTCATACCATCTACCCGTTTTCCGTCTGTTCTTGATAGTCCTAGGGGTTCTAATGTTGAAGGAATGTTTGCTGAGGCAAGAGCTTTCTGAATAATGCAATTGAGTTCGCGATGACGTGATAATCTTCCAGCACTTTTCTGACAAGATAGACCATGTGTGCCTTGACGGTCAACAAGCATGCCACACATACAGTGGTGGGATTCACAAATTGTGCAACCTAGACGTAGAGCCAGTGCTATTCGAAAAACATTATCATTCAGTAGTGTTCCCAGATTTTTACAAGGAAGCGCATTGAGCCACGCTCCAGAAACTGATGATTGGCAGGCTAGATATCTTGCTGTATCGACACTGGATTCTAATTTCAAATCATCACTCAACCTGCTGATGTTTATAGTATCCCAGTTTTTCTGAACAGCGGGTTCTATAGGAAGTTTCTCATAATTTAGTGAAAGCCAAGTTCCTAAATTCGCATTATATCCACTTATACAGGTCAAGTCAATTTCTCCGGTTAGAAACATTAAGGAGTAACTCGGCCGAGTTACTCGACTAATGTAAACCAGCCTTTAACTAAACCAGCAATAGCGTGTATGGAAGAAAGAAAGGCGGCTAAATGAATGTCAGCAACTCTACGAATGCCAAGACCTCCATTTTTAATTGGTAAAGATGCCACATTTAACTGGGTAGGATCTAACTTGACATTAACGATCTTCTCGAGAGTTGTAAATATTGTTTTATCAAACATGTGGACAAAATCGGTAAATCCATTTAAAGGTGTTGTCCGAAGAAGATACAGGAGCTTCGGGATTGCTAAGCAGTTCCGTAGTAGATAATAAGCGGTGTGAGTATTAAGTAACTCCAGGCGTTCAAACAATATTTTCATTTCGTCAAGTTTTCGATTTAGAATAGTGGCAGTAGCTTGTGGGATCAAAGGTGCTCCTAATAGTGTCAGATCTTCCACAATTAATTTTATTCCAGGACAAACAGCGGCAAAAGATTCAAACACCGCATTATCAAATGAAGACAGAAAGAAAATTTCACACTTCTGTGAATTAATTTGTAAGCCTAGATCATTACATTTTTCTGTTAAGAGTTTAAAGCTGGCGAGAACAGAATCTGGATTTCCCCCAAGAGTACCATCATCTAAGTACCACGCATTAAATTCCGACTGAATTTCTACTAGGGCAGGTTGAATAGCAAGACAAAAGAGCATGGGTCCTGCAGGATCTCCCTGTTGAACTCCCACTTCTGACAGAATCTTCTCATTACCGAAGGATAAGTAGGATGCAGTCTGATAACATTGAGATAGGAATGACATTATAGAGGGTGTGTGTTTTTGAGCTTCTTGTAAAAGAAAATCACGTTCCACTGAGTTGAAGGCGTTTTGAAAATCTATCTTGAGTATAATTTTGTTAGTCGATTTGTTTTTCTCAATAAAACTGCGAGTTGCATGAACTACAGCTTCGCATCCTCCTTTGCTACCAAAACCAAGTTGAATAGGACGTAAATAGGTACCAACTGAATCACGTACCATTTTGCAAGCAATTTTTGCAGCTAACCTTCTTAATGTAGTGCCTACAGCTATGGGACGAATTCCACCATCTTGTTTGTTGAGAGCACAAAGAGAGGCTCCATAAAGGATACACGTTACTTGTTGGTTGACTTGGCCGGACAGTAGAAGATTCAACAGTCTAGTTAAAGAGATAACAATTTAGTACCAGCTTCTCCAAGATTTATTGATGTCAAGTCTTTCAGATGTTGTGGACTTAAACCGTCAAGACCGGCTGCGGATCCACATGAAAAGCTTGCGATCGCGGTCTTCACATCCTCTTCAGAGATTGAAATTGCATCTGAAATAGTCTTAATAGAATATTAAACAGAGCAAATTTGATAAAAATGATAAAAGTTTTCATTTTTTGGTTTTTTAAGTTTTGTGAGTAAAATATACGGTCTACAGACGTCGTTCTGTGCTTAAATTAAAGGTAATTACACCTGTCCTTTAATATTTCCCGTAGAATGAGTATTTTCCTCGATATCGTGGTCGAAAATTGACCAAATCTCAAAATTTTACTTTTTTGGACGACTGTATCTCGAAGAGTATTGATCCAGTGACCCCCCTCTCTCCCCCAGTTCTACATGTTTGACGACTGCTCCCTAGAAAAGCAAGATTTCGTGGTCTCCTTTTTGAAAAACTACAAGAAGAGGTTTTAGGGCGGGTATGAAATATGTACTGACAAAAGTGATATTTTAACGGGCGCATTAGGTTGAATCTGATTTTTTTTATTTTCCCGCAGAAGTAGAATTGATAAAGCTGTAAAGAATGTCAAGGTTTTGAATTGTCTTCCCAAACAATTTTCTCTTGTGATAATGTAAAGAATTTATCTGGATGATTGGAGGCAACGAAGTATGTGTTATCACGTATTCATTTTCAATGGGTTTTTTATTCTTTAATTAATTTTAGCATCAAGATTGCGGGAGTATAGCTTGAATTACCTATATCCTTTTTAGTAGAAGATGATTTATGACCCTAGCTCTTTTTTTGAAGTCGAGGGTAGTGGTTACGAGAACCAATTACATTTTTTCAGATGTCTACATTGAGTAGTAATTCGCCATTTTGTTTTTGGGTTAAGTCATTAAGGATGACAAGGGACTCGTCTTCTGAAGGTAATAACTGAGTAGATTATGGCCAAAAGTAATAGTTCCTGTGTTATATAACCCATTTTTTCGATCGCGAAGTAAAGAAAGTAGTGGCGGGCATTTTAAACAAAGAAGGCATACGAGTGGTTAACGTTCAAATTAAAATTATCTTGGCGTGATAGGAAGCAAATAGAAGTTTTTGTTATCATGAAAATAAATAATAATAAGGAATTAATGTGTTGCTTCGAAAATCAATTTCTCCTTTTTCTGTACAGAAAAAACAACACCTTTATTAACTTTTATAAAAAGTCAGTTAACACGACGCTATACTATCAAAGAAATTTTGATTTGCTTGCGAAATAAACCACGAAGAATATCTTGATGTCACATTCCTGGTGATGCAGTAAAAGAAAAAGGTCTCCGACGGCGGTTGTTTTTTCTACCATTTTTAGTGTAATCGACCATCCTATTACAGTGGGAAACAGTGTTATTTTTCACCAAAATCCATTAACACATGGAAAACGAGTGCATGTTCCATAAAGGCACACGCATGCGCATTTGGCTTGCTTCTTCATACAATAAGTTCCTCTGTAACTAGAGTAATGTGCCAACCCAAAACTAACAAAACCATATCCTTCTTTTGGATGGCTTACCGTCCCCAGAGCGACTCTCTGACCTTCACCCTTCATTCATGGTTCCTGTTCTACCTAAAACAGAATGAAAAATATAAATACCTAAATGAATGTTGTATGAGAAAATCTTTTACCTTGTTAAACCTGCATATTTACTTTGCGGCCTATTTCACAATCCGCACACATCAAAATTTTCACCTCGTATTCGTCAATTTGGCTTTCCATGCGAATCCCAAATGAAACCAGGTTACATTGTCCAATATATCCTGTAGTGGAGCTAATTTGTCTGTAATTCTTTTTTCTTTCCTCAAATTGTCGAATGCCGAAAAAAAAAGACCTCCAAAAACTAGAAGAAAGCTTTATCCTCGTTTTCATTTAAAATAAAAAATTTCGCTTTTCTATCCGTTTCCAAGAAAACTATATATTATCCCTCCTCTGTGTACCTATATAGATTTTCGGGTATATGCTATTGAATTGTATAAGATTTTCATCCATTCTTCATCCATGCTTGTCAACACAAGAATTCACTTTGGATTGACCACCCAATGTTGGGGAAGGAGAGAAGGTAATGTGTTTAGCCGTAATATTTTACTTTTGAGGGTAGATTTCAGAAAATTTGATCATCATCATTTGATCTGTTGTTCATCATCGTGGTCGACATACAATATTTCTTAAAAGCGCAGGAGATGAAGTCTTTCACAACTTCTTTATGCAGACCTACGAATAGTAAAACGTTATCAGAGAGCATGCTTTTATGATGAAATTTTTCACCTATTTCCAGGAACATTTTGCAACTGGTCACCACACTATAATATTCACCAAATATTTCCGTTGCGATAGATGCTTGCACACTCTACAAAGCGTTTCGGTTATTCTTAGAGGTATTTGATGTAGACGGTTTACGTACCAAGGGGTGGGGTGGGGTGGGGGTGGGGGTTATATTTATACTCCGCAACATTTCTATAAACATATGTATTGTATAACTAATCGGCAAAGTTGGTATGCGCCGAGGAGATTAAACGCCACTTTCGGAATATCAGTTTTGAAGCATGCATGACGAAATGCTTGCTTTTACAAAAATAGAAACATATTATATTGACCAGCGTAAATGATGCAAATTATCGTCTTACTTCTACACGGTCTCAGTTAAAATATGCGTTTTGAAGAAACCGTCCAGCTTCGTTGGTTCCGTCTGGGCGGAGCCAAAATAACGAAAATACGACTCCTAGAGGGGACGTCGATTGCAGCAGTTTCGTTGGTTCCGTTTTGGCTTAGCATAAATAGCGAAGTAAAAAAGAAAAAGGCGATAGATAGAGGCAGGGAGCCGTCACAATAGCGTGTCGGGCGTGCGCGCTAAGTTTTACGGTTACTAAAACTAAATCTAACGTTAGCATTAGTTCAGAGCACCGACATTTGAATTGCGGAAGAACTTCAGTTATCGCGCCTTTTAGAAGAGCAAAGGTTAGTGTCATTACGGCGATAGGTTCTGTTGAAAACGCTTTAAAACAGTGACCGAACTGTTCATAATCTAAATTTCCAAGCTGAGTGTTGTTAAAAACTTTGTTGGGAATGAGCAAGACTAAACTCTCTGATACACGCACTCGTTGAATTGCAAATTGGCTGTTATATTTTTGTTTGTACAGTTTCGAATGAAAACCACATCACATCACACCAAACCACACGTATGCTGCTCTGCCTAGAATGCAACAACGCGACTATAATGGCACGTATTTTCCATTAAGGTGATGAACTGGGTCTATTGTGCTTCTCCGCTTTTCGGCCGCGTTTCATTTGTTTATGGACCTCGTCCTCAATTCCGCTCGCACTAAATTTATACCGACTCGCTTGAAATTTTGGTCTTTTGTTCTTGTCTTTGGAATGAGTGGTAGTAGTGGAAAATTCAAAGCCATGAAGTCAAAACTATTTATCTAAACGTATTTACGTAAAAAGGGACACTGTTGATACTTTTCCGAAGTAAAGTTATTTTCATCGGAGACCTTATCTGGTTAACCACGTTTTTTTAGAATATTTTTTTTTTTTTTTTTTTTTTTTTTTAATTTAATATTCAATTAACAATCAGAACTAAAATAAAATACATGTTCTATGAGTTAATATGATGACATTTTTTAACGTGAGGGGGAAATCCATCCAGCGATGTTATCCCTATACAGAAGGTGTATCAACTATCCTCCTCTTAGGTCACTGGGCCAATTTTTCATTTTTAGTCGTCTTGGTGGGGGATCCTGTTGTAGGTTTGACGCAAGGATATTTGGATGGACTTGAAGTCGCAGAAAGTGTACGTTACTTCTTATTGTTCGCTCTTCTACTGTTGCTATACCTAGATCAGTATGCAGTGTCAAGTTGCTGACATACCAAGGGGCATTCAGAAGCATTCTTAGGGTCTTGGACTGAGCACGTTGAATGATGTTCACATTGGACTTGCAGGAGCAACCCCAAAGCTCAATGCCATAAGTCCATATAGGCTTTATTATTGTTTTGTAGAGCAAGATTTTGTTTTCGAGGGAGAGACAGGAATTTCTGCCAAGCGACCAGTACATTTTCTTAATTCGCAGGTCTATTTCTTTTCGTTTTTTCAGTATATGAGTTTTCCATGTGAGTCGTCTGTCCAAATGAAGACCTAGATAGCGGGCTTCATTTCCTTGAGGGATAGGAATATTATTCAGATACACTTGTGGACATTCAGTGCGGTTTAGGGTAAAGTTTATCTGAGTGCTTTTTGCTTCATTTACTTTTATTCGCCATTTGTTTAGCCAGGTCTGTAGGTTTGATAAATGGTTTTGTAGTTGTAAGGATGCTGTATTAGGATTGGTATGGCTGGAGAGAAGGACTGTGTCATCAGCAAAGGTACATATATATGTATATGGTGTTGTAGGAACATCTGCAGTGTATAAAATATATAGTAAAGGCCCAAGGACACTTCCTTGAGGCACTCCAGAGCTGATCGGTCGGAGGTCAGAATATTGTTGGCCGTATTTTATTTGGAAGTATCGATTTGACAGGTACGATTTGAATAGAAGGTAGTATTCACTTGGCAGAATATTTTTTAGCTTGTATAAAAGGCCATCATGCCATACCTTATCAAACGCTTGTTTAATGTCTATAAATACTGCAGGACAATAGGATTTGGAATCGAAAGCAGTGTTGATAATATTTACAACTCTATGGCATTGTTGTATCGTAGAATGGTACTTCCTAAAACCAAATTGGTGGTCTGGTATACAATGTTCCAGTATATCGTAATCGTACATTCTTTTGATTACAAGCTTCTCTAGGAGTTTAGACAATAGCGGCAGTAAACTTATTGGCCGGTACGATGTAACACTTTCAGCAGGTTTGCCAGGTTTTAATATTACAATGACTTGTGCGAATTTTAACAATAATGGCCAGTAGTGAAGACGTAAGATGGAATTGAACAGATTTCTTAGAAAAATTATGCTGCTTTTGGGCAATTCTCTAAGCACCTTGGCCGTAATTAGGTCGTATCCAGGTGATTTCTTTATATTTAGATGCTGTATTTCTTCAAGCACTTCAGTATAAGTGAAGCTTTTAACAGGTAGCGA